GGATTCTTTATCTTTATGAGCAAGGTACTATATTGGGGTTTTCCCCTCCTATATAAAGGGGACCCCAATCATTTTGTAAACATCAACTCATTCATTGCAATAGAACATTCTTATTCTTCTTAACGTGCTCTCTAACTATTCTTCAGTTTTATTGTCTTTACTTTATTGTTCATACTTTATTACTTTTTGGGTCTTAGCTGACCTCGAGGTCCCAGGATAAACGAACTCGAGGCCCCTAATGTTTCAGCAACATTGATTTGGTTCATGATTTCTTCTCACTTAAGCTCAATATTATTTGTTTAATCATTAGTATTAGAATATATCACATATCTTTAAAACCACAAATTATCTTTAATTGTTACTTACGTTTTTTGAGATAAACATTGTTAACCATTTCTTGAGTCCATCTTCAATAGCAAATTCTTAGTGTACTAGTTACGACTAGAATTCCTCCCAATTACGTGTATTAAAACTTCTTTTCATGAAAATATGAAATCAAATATAAGAAAAAAGCTTAGACATGTTGACAATTGCATCTTTTTCTAACAACTGTACCAGACGGAACCTAGACGTGTTAACAATTAGTAATAGGCAGAATCACATTTACAATCCGAGCTTCCAAAAAAGATTTTCAAACTATTTTCAAAAAATCATTTAAAAAAATATTTCCAAGAATCATTTTCAAAAACATGTCACACTTTATTTAGTTTACTTTTATATTATAATATATCATAACATTTTGGCTTTTTTTATTTTTTGAGGTATGCGGAGTTGTTTGTCAAAGACGACGCCCGAGCATAAACGACAAAAGTGTAACCCACCTTCCAACTTGTCCCACTTCGTACCTCCCGTTCTCGAATATACTCAAATACAAGCATAGTGGATTATTAAAAAAACATGTATCAGTTCAACTTACTAGTAGTATTTTAAATGGTATTTTTGAAACTTGCCCCTCGGTGGGGCACTTGCAAAATACCCTTAGACTCACGAGTGGGCCCTAATTTGTGATGCTTATGTCTTAAGCGTTCTACTATACGCCCTAAAAGCGCTCGACTATGCGCCCTAAAAACGCTTTCATGATTGTCCCAATAAATTCTACACAAATTATGTATCAAACTCCCCAATTAGCACCATTAATCCCCAAAATTCTGTCACAAAATGAATGATAAAAGTTCTATTCATGTATAGAATATGAATTAATGATTAAGAGTAACTCAATAACGAGCCATAGTATTATATATTTAATTACTAATAAGAACTCGTGAGGGTGAATATCATATGAATATTTCTTCTAAAAATAGATAGCCAAAATTTATGGCTTGCTACTAGTTTTTATATCTTAGTTCTATGTCTCAAAATTATCAGCCTTTTATTATTTTACTATTTGAAAGCAATTTTTGCATTATTATTATTATTATTATTATTATTATTATTATTATTATTATTCATAAAGGACTAATATTTTATATTATAGTACTGATAAAATTTAAGACGTTAAGTTGATTTTTAGGAAGGTAAATGTATAATTTGATAAAAAAAAATTAAGAAATGGTGATCTCTTAATAGTTTAAAAGTTAAGACGTTAAGTCGATTGGTATCTCATAATAATTTTAACACTATTACGTTGTTTATACCTGTAAAAACATACTAGATATTTTGTTTTTAAGGAGTTTCTTTAATCTATTTTTAAATTTCTTAAACTTTTACTATAATTTTATTTTATTTTTGTTATTATATTATTTTATTAATTTATAGTTTAAAAAATTAAAAAATCATGGGTCTTACGCCCCATGTCTTAGTACTTACGCCTCGTCATGTATTAATAAAGTGTTCGGCCTCACGTTCCCGCCTTTTAAAACACTACTTACTGATAATATTGTTTATTTGGGACTACACTTACAATGTTTTAAATTATATTATTAGGCTGTAAAGCTCGCTTTTTTATACAAATTTGCCAATAGTGTAACATATACCCTTTTTAGAAACTCAAAATATCATCATTGAGGTATGACTCACCATCATTTTAAAGATGTGAGGTTCTCGCAAACAAATATGAGCTCTGGTCCATCACCTATCTTGATGGTGTAGTTTGTCTTAGATCTTAACTTAGTTGAAGGTTGAGGTTCGCCCTATTAGTGGAAGGTTGATGTTTAATGATGTGGATGTTTGATAGTAGACGATAATTATGTAATTTAGATACTATTTACACTCTAATTTGGCCACACTTTATTAATGTTTGAATGTTAAAAGATAACAAAATGCTCTAATTAAGAGTTTTACGTTTTGCAGGAGCCACCCCGAGCTAGGAGGAAGCTAAAGAGTGTTTTGGAGTCAATATGGAGCGTGGAAGGCCAATCGGAGGATAGCACGGTCGAAAAGGAGAAAGAAAAGAAAGTGTCAGATCCGCATTCAAATTCGCAGTCGCAGACAGAACTATGGGCGAAATCCACAGTCAGATCCGCGGTCCAATTCGCGGCCGCAGACGAGCTGACGGAAGCCAAAGGGTCAATTGTGTAATTTTCAGAGCGACTAACCTAAACCTATATGAAGCCTAATTCGCCCAAAAGAGAGGGAGAGCTGTTTTTAGAGAGATTTTGAAGGCAAGAACATGGAAAAAAGACAGAGAATTCCTTTAGAGTTTTCATCTTCTTCTTTTTAATTCCATTGTTGATTATGACTTTCTATAGTGATTTGTTATCTATTAGTATGAGTAGCTAAACCCATCATCTAGGGTTGATGGAACCAATTGTTGGATGGAATCTTGACTCTGTTTTGATATAATTGAGCCGTTTTTACTCTATGATTGTTCAACTACGGGTATTCTTGTGATTAATTGAAAGGGCCCTTGATTAATCGTGTCTAGTTATCTTTTGTTGCTTGAGAAAGAATACTTGGTTAGATTGTTATTGAATACCACCACTTTCGGGTAAGTTAAGAGATTAATTACTTAAATTTAAAAGCAGGGTTAGAGATAACGAACCTTTGGTGGAATAATTCTGAGTTGCATAAATTGTTAACTAGAGTAGTTCGGGAGAATGCTTCTAGTAACTATCGTAATTGATCGAGAGATAATTACCGTAGCCCAGAACTCATATTCCTTATAGAGTGTTACGGCGAGATTATAACTAACGTGTCAGGAATTAATCCAACAATTGGGGAAATCAATAACCCTAGACTATTTTACCATTGAATTCAACTCTATTCTTGATTATTGTTAGTTTTATTGTCATTTTTTCTTAGTTTACTAAATTCTACTCATTATCCATTAAAAATCTTGCATCCGAAAATTGTTTGAGCTTATCATTAGCAGTGTTAAAAGTTGTAGTAAATAGGTTAGTTCCCTATGGGATTCGACTCCGGACTTGAACCAGATTATATTTGTAGCGACCGCTTAGTCCTTTTTATAAAGCATAGTTGGGCGTGATCAAATTTTGGCGCCGTTGCCGAGAAACTAACGGTGTTATTTATTGCAACTTATAAGAAATGCTAGGATTATTAGTTTAGATCAATTTTCTGTCGTGTTAAAAATATTTCCATTGAAATTCTCACGTTTGAACTCTTCTGTGACTCAGGTGTATGCATAGAATCTCCTTGAGAATTGGTGATCTCTTTGAAGGGCTCTCAGATCCCGAGAAAGCATTCCGGACATTGAACCGGGATAACAAGAAGCGCAAATGGCTAAAACAAAATGAATAATTCGAAATTGAAATGGGTGATTTAGACAACGTCAACGGGAACAATAGGAATGATCGAGATGTCCCAAATGTCAGAGTAGTAGCACCTCTTGTGCCGGAAGCTGCTCTCTATGATTGGGCGCAACTAACTACTGATAACTTGGCCACATCAATTGCAGTTCCTTAGATACAAGCGAAGACATTCTAGATTACGAACAACATGTTGCACCTATTGCAGAATAAAGGGCTATTCTCCGGGTCATACATTGAAGACCAACAACAACATCTGAAGAACTTTCTATCAATTTGTGTCACTCAAAGACAACCGAATGTGACTCTTGAGGCAATCAAATTATTATTGTTCCCATTCTCAGTCACTGGGGAGGCTCAGACTTGGCTGAATTCGCTCCCAGTAAACTCCATTGCTACTTGGGAGGAGCTAGTCAAGCAGTTCTTAAACAAGTTTTATCCACCCAACAAAACTGCGAGGAGAATTGATGAGATATTGCAATTCAGGCAGAAACTGACTGAGACATTGCAAGAAACATGGGAGAGGTTTAAGAGTATGTTGGTGGAGTGTCTGCACCATGGCATTCTAGATCAGATGTTGGGACAAAGATTCTATATGGGTTTGGTTGAAAGTCTGAAGGCCGATGTAGATGCTTCTGTCGGGGGTACATTCTTGAGCAAAAAATTCATAGAGTGTAAGATTCTTCTTGACAAGATGTCTCAAAATTCAGGCTGGATGATGACAGACACAACACTTACTCCAATAGTGCATTCTGTCGCTCTTGACCCAAACAACACAAATGCGGAAAACATAGCCACTCTCATGACTCAGATGAGCTTGCTGACAAAGAAAATCGATGAGATGGGCACGAAACAGGCACACATTGTTGATACAACAAATGGAGGCATATGCACTCCTTGTATAAACCAGTCTTATATGTGCTCGTGGAGTGGAGAGAATGACAACCAGGGTTTCAGAGAAGACATGAATTATGTCAATAATTTCGGAGGTCAGAGACAAGGTGGGCAACAATGGGGACCAACATCAAACCAGCAGTACAGACCAAACCATCCACTACACAACCCCAATCCAGGACGAGCACGACCACAAGGCCAAGTTGTGCCTTATCAAAGGCAACAGGGCTATAATCCGTAGCACTAACAACAATTGGCCTACTATAACAGCAGGGCAGTAACATGATCGAAATCAGGGGCATACTACAACAACTCATTGGGACAAATGGAAAGATACAAGAGAAGTTAGCTGTACATGATTCAACAATCAAAGGCATTGAAACTCAATTGGGATAGCTATCTATGGCCTTGAACAATTGCCCACAAGGAACATTGCCTGCAGACACAAACATTAATCCAAACCCAAATCAGCTCATGGCAGTGAGTCTTAGGAATGGAAGGGATTTAGACAGGGAGCAAGAAGTTGCTCAATCCAGGAGAGAGACAACGCCAACTACTCCAGTTACATTAGAGACAGATGAGACAACAGAGCTCACTGAGGTTATAATTGAACAGGCACAAGTTGACAAGCGTAAGGAGAAGGAAGGTGAACAACTCCCCGAACAGGTGGTAGAAAAAACTTCAAGCAAAGAAAAGACACAAAGAATTGGGCAGAGGTTGATTCCTGCACCATTCCCTCAAAGGTTGGCAAAGCAAAAGAAAGATGATCAATAAATGAAATTCATGGAAATGCTCAGACAAATTCAATTGAATATTCCATTGATGGATGCTTTGAGGGAAATTCCAGGGTATGCAAAAATGATGAAGGACCTGATGTCGCGAAAATTTAACTTCTAGGACATGTCCACTATAACTTTGACGTAGACCTGCAGTGTAGTAGTGACAAGGTCTATGGCTCAAAAGGTGTCTGATCCAGGTAGTTTCACTATCCCATGCACCATTAGGAGTTATGCTTTTGCTAAAGCATTGTGCGACTTGGGAGCCAATATAAACTTGATGCCCTTGGCAATCTATACTAAACTGAGCATTAGCAGAGGTAGACCTACCTCAATGTTGCTGCAACTGGCTGATTGCACAGTCAAAAGAATGACAGAAATTCTTGATGATGTGCTTGTTCAAGTGGGGAAATTTGTATTCCCTGCAGACTTCGTCATTCTTGACTGTCAAGTGGATGAAGAGATACCAATCATTCTAGGCAGACCATTTTTAGCCACTGGGAGAGCATTGATTAATTGTGAGACTAGAGAATTGAAAATGAGGTTGAACAATGAAGAAACCATGTTCAACAATCTATGAGGAGACCCAACAAATTTGCAAATTGCTCGCTGATGGAGGCCGTAGATGCAATACTACAAGAGGAGGATGAGACTATTAATGTCAGGGATCCGTTAGAAGCCTGCTTGATGAATCTAGAAAATGTAGATAGTGAGGAGTTGGTAGATGGGGTCATAGATCTCGAAGGTCAAGGGTTCTGGAAAAGGGAACCCCAATTCGAGCCCCTACACTTAGAAGAAAGAACACTACCAACCCCAAAACCATCGATAGAGGAGCCACCACAGTTGGACCTGAAGCCGCTTTCATCTCACCTCAGGTATGCTTTCTTAGGACCTAATTCTACTTTACCTGTTATTATATCATCCGGTTTACTAGGTGTGCAGGTAAAGCAACTCCTATAGGTGTTACAGTAATGTAAGACTGCTACTGGTTGAACCATGGCAGACATAAACGGGAACCAGCACAACGTTTTGTATGCACAGGATTCTCTTGGAAGAAGGGCACAAACCTTCCATAGAACATCAACGAAGGCTGATCCCGAATATGAAAGGAGTGGTGAAGAAAGAAGTGATCAAGTGGTTAGATGAGGGTATCATCTTCCCCATCTCTGACAGCAATGGGGTCAACCCTGTTTAGTGTATACCAAAGAAGGGAGGAATGACGGTCGTATAAAATGAGAATAATGAGTTGATCTCGACTCGTACAGTCACGGGGTGGCAAATTTGCATGAATTATCAGAAATTGAACACAGCCACCCGGAAGGACCATTTTCCACTGTCATTCATTGACCAAATGCTAGGCAATCTCACTTCTGTTTCTTGGATGGATATTCGGGGTACAATCAGATCTCAATAGCCCCCGAAGATAGAGAGAAAACATCCTTCACCTGTCCGTATGGCATCTTTGTCTTTCGGAGAATGCTTTTTGGACTTTGCAATGTACCGGGTACATTCCAGCGGTGTATGTTAGCCCTTTTCATGGACATGGTTGAAGATATTATGGAGGTATTTATGGATGATTTCTCTGTGGTGGGGGATTCATTCGAGGACTATCTTCACAATTTAAGAAGAGTGCTCAGAAGATGTGTGGAGACAAATTTAGTGCTGAATAAAGAAAAGTGTCATTTTATGGCACAAGAAGGGATAGTCTTGAGGCATTGAGTGTCCAGTAAAGAAATTGATGTTGACCATGCTAAGGTTGATGTGATTGAGAATTTGCCACCACCCACTTCGGTCAAGGCAGTGAGAAGTTTCCTTGGGCACGCCGGGTTCTACATGCGATTCATAAAAGATTTCTCTAAGATTGCTAACCCTTTATGTGAACTCCTTGAAAAAGATTGGCCCTTTGTGTTTTCTAATGATTACAAGGAGCTGAAGAAGATATTGGTGACTGCACCCATTATTGTTGCACCCAACTGGGAGCAACCATTCGAGCTCATGTGCGATGCAAGTGATTATGTGCCTAATTTACTATGCAAGCAGAACGCTAAGTGGTGCCCAGCTCAATTACACTATGACGAAAAAAGGAGATGTTGGCTGTAGTTTTTGCATTTGACAAATTCAGGTCGTACTTGATTGGTTCAAAAGTTATTGTTTATATTGACTATGCAACAATTAGGTACTTGATAGAAAAGAATGAATCAAAGGCACGCTTGATCCGCTGGGTTCTTTTTGCTACAAGAATTTGATCTGGAGATCCGTGACAGAAAAGAGACAGAGAACCAGGTAGCACACCACCTCTCAAGGTTGAAGGAGCTGAAAAGAAGGTAGAGGTTAAAGATATAACAGAGACATTCCCGGATGTACAGTTACTAGCAGTGACAATGGAGGAGATGCCATGGTATGCTGATATTGCTAATTATTTAGTAAGTAGTATTGTACCTTATGAACTCTCTTCAATTCAAAAGAAAAAGTTCTTCTGCGATTGATGGTCTTATTATTGGGATGAAGCTCTACTTTTTAAAATATGTGTAGATAACATGATCCGAAGGTGTATCCCCGAGAAAGATCAACATTCTGTTTTGCAGACTTGCAATGCTTCACCATATGGTGGACACTTTGGAGGAATTCAGACAGCGGCTAAGGTGTTGGAATCGGGTGTGTATTGGCCAACTTTGTTCAAGGATGCCCATGCTTGGGTGAAAAGTTGCGATGAGTGCCAAAGGACAGGCAACATATCTCGATGTCACGAGATGCCGATAACTACTACTCAAGAGGTAGATGTATTTGACATATATGGGATTGACTTTATTGGGCCATTCGTCAGCTCGTATGGTAACAAATACATACTGGTGGCAGTTGACTATGTCTCCAAATGGGTTGAAGTTATGGCTATCCCAACCAATGATGCAAAAGGTGTGACAGGCTTTCTAAAGAAAACATCTTCACGCATTTTGGCACCCCGAGAGCTATAATCAGTGATGGTGGAACCCATTTTTGCAATAGAGCGTTCGCACAGCTGTTGGAAAAGTATGGAGTTCGCCATAAGGTGACCACACCTTATAACCCACAGTCGAGCGGGCACGTTGAAGTGTCAAATCGGGAAATCAAAAGTGTTATAAACAAGACAGTGAATGCGACAAGGACTGATTGGGCAAGGAAGCTGGATGATGCATTATGGGCGTACCGCACAACATTTAAAACTCCAATTGGTATGTCACCAAACAAGTTGTTGTTTGGAAAAACATGCCACCTTCCGGAGGAACTTGAGCATAAAGCCCTTTGGGCACTACGGCAATTGAATTTGGATATGGAGACCACATGCATTAGTAAAGTCACGGAGTTACAGGAACTCGAGGAATTCAGGTTCCATGCATTTGAGAATGCAAGATTGTACAAAGAAAAAATGAAAATGATGCACGATAAGCATATTCTAGATCGGAACTTCAAACTAGGAGATCTAGTATTGTTATACAACTCGAGACTAAGATTGTTTCCGGGTAAACTGAAGTCCCAATGGTCAGGACCCTTCAGAGTGGTGCAAGTGTTCTCAAGTGGAGCTGTAGAAATTGAATCTGAAGATGGAACAAATAAGTTCATGGTGAATGGGCAAAGGTTGAAATATTACCTTGGAATGGTCGAAGAAAAATGGGGATAGAGTGGTGATATCTTTGGAAGAGCCCCAATACACGAGCGAAGAGTAATAATGAAAGCCTGCATCGTGCCACGACATTAAATCAGGCGCTTCCTGGGAGGCAATCCATGGTTTGTTGTAAATCGTCGTGCCGTGGCGTTAAATTAGGCACTTTTTGAGAGGCAACCATTATTTTTCTTTGTTCTTATTTTTCTAATTAATGTTTTTGAATGGTGACAATATTGATCGATCTACTAAGGTACAGGAACGAAAGTATGCGCAGCGGAAGGACTCGGGATGACAAAATTATCCCGAAGATCGGCAAAAGTGCAAAAAAGCAAAAATTTGGATGCCTAATCCGCGACCGCGGATGAATCGCGGATTTTGCACATGGTTCTATCCGCAGCTGCGGACGTGATTGGGATTCGACCACAGAGCTTGCGCCGTTCAGGTTCAATTAGAATATTTTTCTTTTCTTTTCTCTTCTCCCTTTTGATTAGTTTTTTTTACTTATTATTTCCCCCTTATCCGCCCATTCCCCCACTTCTTTTACACCCCCCTTAACAAAACAAATCTAAAACCCTTCCCCCTCCCCCAAATCACAAAACAACTAACCCCTCCCCCTTCTTCTCCCCAATTTTTTTAACTTAACAAAATCTCTTCCCCTTATCCCTCTTCTCTACTCAACAACTACCCAAGCTCCATTACTCACAAGATTTTCAAGTACCATGATATCTTCAAAGAAGATACGCACTAACAATGCCTCATCAAATGGTCATGGAGGCTCGTCCCGGGCATAGGCACCAGCCAGTTTAGCTCAGTTTGATCACACCAAGTTTATCTCTAGAGTTGCCGAAGACCATTTCAGTTGGAAGGCTTAGAAAGCCTATACCGGAAAGGAGAGTTGACAGGGGATCCCTCCAGGCTGAGTGCCCCAATATGTATAGGGAGTTGATTAGGAACAGGCTAGACATCTTCTTCGAAAAGCCGAAGGACGACAACTTGATGCTTGTTAGGGAATTCTATGCCAACTACTATGAACATGAGGATCACATATGCACCGTGCAACAAAAGAGGGTGAATGCCTCGATAGAAGCCATCAGGAGAGTGTATCGCTTGCCTGTATTCACTGTGGAGGTGGATTACTATGATACTTACCGATGAGAACCAACAAATTGGCAAATATTTTTTATAACTATATGTGTACCAGACAAAGAGGTAGTGTGGGTTGTACCGGGATCGAAGTTGCACTTAGCCTCACTCACCTTTGAAGGAAAGTGTTGGTTGTACCTCATTAATAGTCGACTGATGCCGTCCCACAACACCACTGAGGTACATGGTCCGAGAGCCGCTTTGATCTGGTGCTTCGTGAATGGACAAGATTTTGATATGGCCAAGGTTATTCAATCTGAGATGTTCATCCGTTCAACACTAAGGAGGTATGAGTTCTTTTTCCCATCTCTAGTCACTAGATTGTGTCGGGCCGTAGGGGTGCTAGAGAACCCATAATATGGATGGCAAGGTGAAGAAAGAAGCAAAGTTTCGGGCAGACAAAATGACCATTGGGAAGAAATAGTGGTACTCGGTACAGCTGATAGTGATGATTCTGAGGCGTCAGAGGAGAGCGATGAAGAGCAGGAGGAAGTTAGGCCTTCTTCAACCCCATAGGAACAAGTTGGGCTATCCTCACCCCCATGGGAACAAGTAGACGCGGTTAGAGGATCATTTGCAGTCAGACAGAGTACGCGGATGACAGCCTTAGAACAGGAAATGGCAGGGTTGCGCACTTCCGTCACAGAATTGGGGATGAGAGTTGATGCCTTGGCCACCCAAAATACGAAGTCGGAGAATAAAATCATAGGCTGGTTGCGTGCGCTGGGGGAGGGCATGTCATCTTGACCCCAGCACTATATCCAATCAAGACTGATCTTCTAGGGAAGTTCCTTTAC